TCGCATGCAGAAATTGTACTGCATGTTTCCTGCTCTTAAACACCCCAAAAAATGCTTCACAAGTGCAAAAGGTGTACGACAAACGACCATATTTCGATAAAAAAAAATTTGATTTGCAAAAAATATTCTCAATTTGCTTTACATTCTCTTTACCCAAGCACGAAAATGTATTAGCCTGAAAAACATGTAGATTTAATCTTACAAAGGACCAACTCAAATATTTTAATGTTCTACAGACTTGGAATTGCTCATCTGTAAATATATGACAAATGATATCAAACTAATTGGAGCATTTAATAAAAACAATGATTTGAAGTAATTACATGTGAAAGATCGCTAGATCTCTAATTTCCACAAGCCTTGTGCGCACGCACACAGAACTGCACAGAAGAAAAGGAAGATCCGGAAGAGTTGAATATTTCATTATATAGATCCTTGTCTCAAAAAAATGCAATTCTTATTGGATAGAAAAGACGCGGCGAATAGTATTCTATTTTATCAAATTAATTTTGTCAAGTCAGAGGTATTTTGATTACCGAGGATTTCTTTGGTGTTTTTTTAAGATTTTTAGTTTTTATTTTTTAATGTTTTTCGTAAAAGTAAAATCCGATCGGCAGGACATGCTGTTCACCTGAGTCGTAACTGGCAAGTGTCGTATATCGGTGCGTGAAACCCCTGAGAAACTAAATTACTATTTGGTGAGTTTTCGAACTGAAGCTACATCAGCTGGCAACCAGTACTAGTTGGAGGTATGTAACACCAAGGACACTGATATGAGATTTACAATTTGACTACCTCTTGGAATTCTAGACATTTTTTTAACATTTTATAGAAGCTCATCGCAAAAATTGATCGAATGGCATCCTGAAGGAGTATCTTGTCGCGAAGATCATCCAGACATCTAAGCCTCTACCTTGGCGGCTAGGAGCAAACACTGGATATAGCTAGGCCAGGTCCTTATCCTCATTACAAATCCTGAATGCTGCAATTAGAGATGCTCTTATTATTCAGTGAAAAGTTGACAAACAAGCAGTCTCGTTTATACAGCGATAATCTCCGGAGGTGCTCTTTAAATAATATCAGATATCCTGCTCCAAATAATATCTTATTTTGCGAATATATCGTGTCTTTGGATAAAGCATGCACTTTGGCTCCAAACTACGCTATAAACTACATTTTCATAGTTAGTCGAAAACTCGAAGTCAAACTTCTACTGTATTCAGCTGTTACCAGAAGCACAGACACTTGGCAAGTACCAACAAAAGTCATCCGATGGCAAAGCTAACAGTGACTCCCTTTTCCGGTTGCTTAAAAGCAAGTTGGTGGTGCGGCTAACTCTCTGGAATACAACCAGTACCAATAGGCGGGTAAAATAGCAGCAGACCAGGAGTCAAAGTTAGGGCTAACAGTGGCGCGTCTGAACATGCTTAAGGAGTTTTGGCCTCACCACTTTTGCAAGCGCAATCCTTGGTCATAAGAGAACCATCGTCAGCTTATTCAGCTGATAAGCATTGTTGATAAAAGCGCTTCTGGAAGATATAAGTCATAAAGATATAGATACGAAGGATTCGCGTTGTATCTTCTGAGGAGCAATTGGCATCAGAACTCGTAGAAACTCCGCCCATTACCTTACTTAGCTTTTTAATGAATTGCTTTGAAAGGCAATTAGTTTCAAAAGGCATGCGGCTATTCAATAAAAAAAAGAGAAATTACTTTTTTTTATCCCAGCACAATAATTGCGGGCTAAGCACTTAATAAGTTCTTCTTTAGAATTGTTCCAGAATCTAAATGTAGTCAAGTGCAAGGGTGATTGCGAAGTAAAAACAGGTAAGAGCAAAGTAAAAAAAGTCAGCTTTTGTAGGGAAGGACTAGAAGTCGAAATTTTAGGTCCAACATTTGAGCGGGTTCTTTTTGACTTTGCTTTATGAAGCGCAAATTACACCCACATA